TGCTCCCGTGTGATCTCAGCTTGCTGTCATTTCATGATGGAAGGACGGGGTGATTGGGATGACTACAAAGGGGGAATATTACCACAAGACGAGATACATAAAGTGAAGATGAAAGTTGACAATGTGGATGAGAGATGTAGTTGGTACAGTGGGAACCAGCGAAAACAGAATACGGAAGCGGAGCAGAGTCGGCGGTTCCCGAAATGTCAAACGTCACGATGACAAATATAAATAACGAGAAATCAGGAGGTTTTGTTTATACAAATGGAAGAGGGATACGATACGTTTACAACATCTAATCAAGCCGGGGGGGGACTCAAAATCGGTGCGAGGAGCTCGATGATACTTACAGCCCAATTAGCCAACTAATGAAGATCGCTCCGGGAATGATTGTAGCATAGAATATTGTGTTTATAGTACTATAAAGCCCACTCATTGCTTTCGGTCACTTTTGCTCTAATGCTTATGGGAATTTAGATATGTTTTGCTCGATTCGATTCGGTTCGATCGGGAGTTAACGGATTCGAATGATTCTCACCGGTTGCGTACTTGAATTATTATCGTGTAATTATTTTGACGCGTGGGGAGAGAGAAGCAAACAGATTTATAGATTATTAGTTTGTTATTTGTGGGGTTGTTGTTTAGGGAGGTTGTCCAAGGTCGTCCGAAAGCGAGAGGCATGCATGGCGCACCGTGTTAACCGAACCGCACCCGTGCGTAGCACAAACTGATCCCCATTCTTTTGCCAAAAATCCTTTAAGGCCAACCTTTGTACCCGATTTGATACTGCTGATAATGGCAATGGGTGTCGACGCGGGTATACGTAGTGTGGTGCATGTTGGAAATGTATGTACTTAAACGATTATGTATATATGTATGTTTGTTCATATGAGGTTAATGAGGCAGTGAGTAAGTGGTGAGGCAATTTGATAATAACAGTCAAAGAAGCCGAGATATCAACGAAATACGAGCGTGACTAATGACACTACTACGGATCGGCAGCCGCGCGAGAGCAGGTTGAAATCATAAGAGAACACAAACGGATTTCGTACGGCTACAAGCAAACTACGGAAACAAATTAATCGGGGGTCGGTTAGTGGGGACAAACACACAGGGATTCACCTCTTGAAGAAATGCCGCCTACGCGCAAAAAGCATAGCTGCAACGAGTGAACAAGAGAGTAGAGAGAGAGAGAAAGAGAGAGCGTTAGAAGTTTGCCAGTTCTGAAATTCAAATTCAAACAGCCGCCAAGAGCGCAAGCGATATCCACAGCCGATAGGCATGTCTGTCAACTGTCAATCGAGTGATCGAGAGAGGGAGGCACTAACGGATCTGCAAAAACTTTATTTTTGATTAAAAATAATAACTATTCGCACTCGCGTGAATGAAGCGCGTAGCGTTGTGTGAAGCGCGTCTGTTGATACTGGAGGAGAATGACGAGCGTGGGCCAGTCCCCCCCCCCCCAACAATTTTAGAGCTGATCGCTTGCCTTCCCCGCGGCTGCTGTGGACTGGGATTGAATTGAACATGAATAACACATTTAGTTGGGATGCACTTGTGGCCAATTAATGCCTCAATTACCGCCAAGTGCCGGATAAGTGGGTATATGACGGCGACTCGAACTTATCGAGTTATATCTGTCCAGTCCGTGGAAATGAGTACTAAGAAAATGCAATCACTGCGGTGCGTTCGTCTGATTAGGTAATCCCTCTAATCCAGCAGCTGCATGGCGGCCTGCAAGTAAATGAAAAACTGTTTTCAACACTTTTGAAGCGTGGTGGGATGGGGGTGTGGTCGTGGTGCAGCAGCAGCTGCAGTCTATGTATCAAGAAACCCCACATTTTCGCCGGGCCAAGTGGAATCCGTTTATGTGGCAGGAGAAGGGAGGGGAGTGGCTTTCACTACGCCACCCATTGATGGGGTTAAGGGCTTTACGACATTGTCTTTTCAAGGACTCTTAATGTGCACTGCCTTTTCACTCAATTTGTGTAATAAAATCAAAGGATAGCCGAAGCACTTGTGTTCTCACCACATACGCTCCAGGATTAGCCGAGATGTATTCCAATTGCCAGTTTGTGTCGATTCCAGGTTTTAAGCAATTAACTAATTAACATTTGATTTTCAGAACAGCTGAAGCGAGATGCTGCCTTTTAACAGCTGATGCCTAGAGATGTGTAAATTGCGATAACTGAGAAACGCAATATTAATCTAAATGGGGCTGCCACACTGCAGCTGTCTTTTGGCGCGCACCACTCGTATCCAGTCGATAGTATCGATAACCGAACTTGAATCCGGTAAGGCTCTCTTTTAACCGGTTGACAACAATGAGTCCCATTCCATGCACACATACCCTGGGGGAAATGGATGTTATATAATTGTGAATATGTTTGTCATCCCAGGCAAAAACAATTTATTTTCAATATATTTTAATATTATTCAATACTATTTAATATTATTTTCAATATTTCAACGATATTGTCTTCTTGTAGGGACCAAGAATAGGTATCAGGATCGAGATATATGTATATACAAAACACTCATCATATACATGAATATGTCTAAAAAATGTCAATTTGAGAAAAGGGTTTATTAGTTACGTTTTATCTTCATATCAATATTTATACTTTCATATACAATTAACAAAATAGGGTATACAAAGGCCTATATACGGCTTACACGCAATATGGCGATCGTTTTTTTGTTGAACTTTTTCGTTTAAACCTTTTTTTACAATAAATACAATAAAAGCAAGGATTAAAAACTATCCAATCTTGTAGAAAATTTATTCATCAATGGGATTAAACTATGTGGGCATTGCTGAGAGATTTAGTTAGTCAGCATTATTCAATGGAATATCAAAATTGAGCAATATGAACGAATTTCCTTTTTCGTTTGTTTTGATTGACCTATTTCGCTACTTGTTTTTTGTTTGACTTATTTCGCTAAAACCTATTTTTACGCAAAATGCAATAAAAGCAAGTATTAAGAATACACCAGTTAAATAGAAAATTGATTCATCAATTGTATAAAATTATGTGGGCATGGCTAATCGATCTATATAGCTAGTAATATTCAACGGAATATCAAAAACGAGGAATATGTAAAATAGAACTTGAATTCGTCAGTATATTTACGGTATATTTTTTGAATGAGACGGTATATTTTGGTATATTTCTGAGGGTCGGACCATATAACGATAAATCCGCGGTCACTCTGAAGAACACATGTAAATATAAAAATAAAAACAATTGAAATATCATGCAAGGGCTGAAGTCCGGAAGCTGAAGCTGCTCCATGTCTCTGGCCTTCGACCTGAGCAACTCCGGCGGTGCTTATCAACCACTGGACAGCGGAAGCGGCAAAGACGCGTCGGCAGCGGTCCCGCAGAGACACGCGATGAGCATGAGGGTCTCGTGGATCAGGCAATGGCGCCGCTATAAACTGCCCGCCTTGGTTCTCATGATGATGTTTCTGATGTCCTGCCTTGCGTACCGCATCATGGGTGTACGTATCTATTTCTCCTAGGTAGACTTGACTTATCAAACGTTTTATTTCCGCAAAGGCCGAGCAGGATGCTCCTCCCACGGACTTGCACCGCAGCTCCCCGCTGCTGGATGCTTACGAGGATTTCAGCGCGATGCGGGCCGGCGACCTAAAGATGCGCATCGAGGAGATGGTAAGAATCAAGGTAAGTGCCAAACACATTGGAACCTAATTTGGATTAAACCGTATCCGACTTTTCCCAGAGCACTGTGTCAGTGGAGCTACGCGAGCTAGAGTCCCGCCGCCAGAAACTGCAGTCGGACATCAGTCAGTACAATCAAAAAATTGAGGAGCTGAAGCAGGAGCTGCTCCGTGAGCAGACCGAGTTGGAGCGTTTCAAGATGTCCGTGGAGCAGGCGCAGGTGGCCCAGCGGGAGGCAGTGCAGCGCAACACTCCTGATCTTGCCCTGCCGCGCACCCTCCTGCCCAACTCCCTGCCCCGAAAGATGAATACTGTCTCGACGGGCGTAGCCGCCTCCTGTGCGATGCACAACTGCTTCGACCACTCCCGTTGCAGCCTCACCTCCGGCTTTCCAGTATACCTTTATGACCCCGACGAACACAACGTCCAGCGAACTGGCTACGATATCGATGGCTTACTTAAGACAACTCTCTAACAAACGCTCGGCTACAACGCGCACATAGTGAGGGATCCAACGCAAGCCTGCATCTACCTGGTGCTGGTAGGCGAGGCTCTGCTGGAACAGGACCTGCTTCGAAACAACCGATATGCGGCCCAAGAGGCTGAGCAGCAACAGCCGACGGCTCCCAGCCAAACACACGACTGCCCCATCGAAATGCAGAAGCTGTACAACCTGCCCCAATGGGGAGGCGATGGCCGCAACCATGTGCTGCTAAACCTGGCACGCCGGGACCTTTGCTCCCGTAGGACGAATGCACTGCTCCAGCAGAACACCATGCGAGCCATTGTGGTGCAGAGCGCCTTCGAGCTGGACCAGTTCCGGCCCGGATACGATCTGATTGTGCCACCCATCCTCGGTCCTATCACTAAAAACTCTTCAAGCTGCGATAGCATCCACTTTCTTGAGAAAACATAATTTCGGAAAGCAAAGTAGGCTGCGGTGTGTAAGCGTCTGTGTCTGTATGTGGGTGCTGTGAAGTGCTCTCCAACCATTGTTTGTTTACTGGCCAATCTCAAACAACTTCCGGAAACTGAAAGTTCGCCGCGTTATCTGCAAAAAATTTACTTCAGCAACAACGCCAGCATCAGCAACAATAACAACAACGAGAGACTGCAACAGATCCTGAAAGGTGCCAGAGCTACGCAAATCAATTGGCCACAACGCTCTAGGCAGGCCATACCCGACGTTAAGACTGAGTTAGCAAATCTAAATACCAGTAAGTGGCACTCCATTTTCCATTTAGTAAGAGTATCCCATGCCAATCCTCCAATAGCAATGTGGTCATCTTCCATCGGGTGGACCGCACCTGGGGACAGGACACTTTGGACAATAGTAATCAGTACCAGGAAAGATACAGCGGACCCATTCGAGAGCACTGTTCTGGCTCTGGAGCCTTCAACCGGCCGCGTGCAATACGATTGTGGAATTCCTTTGGCGGCGACCGGGCGAACGGACGGGTGCAGTGTTTCTACTCGAGCAACCGCACCTTTTACTCACAGTATCAAAATCAACTGATTGGCGATCGACTGTCCAGCATGGCTTATACCTCGGCAGCAGGTTAGTCTCCGTGCCCCGTCTGGATAATGGCTAAAAGAAAAACAGTTTACAATCTTTTCTTTCCCTTCCAGGTGGAGAACTGGTCATTGTCAATGGCCCCAACGCTGAGTTGTGTAGATGAATCCCCACGATGTGGCCGTAACAGCCTATGGTAATAAGATGTATGTGGCCGAATTGAATCCCATGCGTATCCACAAGTGCCCGTCGAGACACCGGCAGCGGGAGTGGACGCAAGCCAGACGACGAGTGGCAGGGCCGTACTGGTGGCCTCATTAATGCTGATATTTGCACGCTCCACCTTTACGCTGACCCTGCTCATGGCCAGGCGGCGAAAACGAGGTAGCCATCAGTAACGCTGCCGCGTCGAGCGATCTGGTCTACCGCAAGCTCACTGCGTCCAACTAGAGTCTAATCTAACCATCTCAGTATCTTAATTGTCGTGTTAATTATACTCGCGCAATGTCCTACATCTAGTTGTGTCCTATTATGTTCCGGTGTTATTTCGTTACCGATTTTTGCATATCCATTTGCATATTTGTACACGTGTTACTACTATCATATATTGATAATTCTAATTTTTAGTACATATCATTTTAAGTTGATTTTCGGTCACATTCCCTTTCGCCCAGATATTTGAATGCTTATACAAAGTATATACACAGCAGACAAACCCATTTATACAATATACAATACATTTTCTAAATTTAAGTGTGTCCTGTTTTTTGTTTAGTGCAAATTTTTAACAACTACTCATAAGAGAGCATGTAAGAGCATGTCGCGTGTCGCATACATTATTTGTTGAGTGAATCTAATCATTTTATACCCAGAAACTTATAGAAATCCACCGTAAAAACCATAAACGTTCTATATCGGCATCGAGATATATTTATACAGAAAACCAGTCAATAGCATGAATATGTAAAAACACGTAAATATGTGAAAAAGACATTCCTAATTACGTTTTAAAGCAACTTGTAGCGGTATTTCAATATTGAATTAACGAAATAGGTATACAAATGTCCATACAGCGGTTGACAAGCAACAAGTCGTCAAATACCAGCAGCATGTGAGAAATTACATGACATTCCATACTCACTTATCATAAAACATAAATTAAAGATATCATTTTAAATTAGCCAATCTTGTAGAAAATTGAATCATCAATGGGTAAAAATTATGTGTTTAGGGCTGAGGGCCGTAGCTAGATAGTAATATTAAGCCGAATATCAAAATCGTCGAATATTATATTCGTCCGTGGACAGAGAGAGATTAACCCATTGCCGACCAGTGGGTATTGAAATACTCTACGAAAATTATTAAATCTGAAGAATTGTACCGCAGTTCACGTGGAAGATATCGAAGTCTTCTTTTTAAAGAAAATATAAAGGATAGGATGGACCTACAAGAGTAGTTATTATTAATATTATTGGTATTATTTTTCCGCGGTTGAACTCAAGTATTTATACTGCTCAAATAAAGGGTGTTTAAGTGGGCTAAGTTCGTTTTTTCATCGGTATATTTACGGTATTTTTTCATATTTGTGACGTATATCAGCCCTGTAAAACAAAAGAAATTGCGAATTAGAAAGAAAACGCGAGAGGGGATTGCAATAGCAACGGCAGGGCCGAGACTTGGAAGACATGAAGAGTTTGGACGAAATCAAGGCGGAGTATCCGCTCCACTGGCACATCTGGAACGGAGACGTGGAGCAGCTTCAGACCGAGCTACAAATTGACCAGGTAAATGGTGGGTGAGGTGGGTGTGGTTGTGGCTGGGCTGTGATTCTGGCAGAAGGAAAAGCCGGACAGGTGTGTGTGCACACTAATTGAATTAGCGCATTTCCCGACAAACAACGGACGGCAGAGAAATAAATTGTTATTGAACCATAAATGGCACAATTCGTCAACTTTCAGAATGATAAGGAAAAAATCGATCCACGGGGACGCACCCCCCTGATGCTGGCGGTGCGATTGGCGAATTTTCCCTGCGTCAAGTGTCTTCTAGCAGCCAAGTGCAACGCGACCTATGAGCACGAAGGGTGGTCAAGTGAGTGCACCATTAGATAAGCTCTGGCTGATAAAGATGTAACACTCTGCCGCACATCTCCCCCCGCAGTTGTACAGGAGGCCGTGTGCACTGGCGACGTAGACATACTGACTGCCATCATCGAGGTGCGTGACCTACAGCGGCACGTCCAGCGCGTGACGCACGTGCCCAAGCTCCTGCAGCACCTCCTGGACGCCCCCGACTTTTACATTGAGATGAAATGGGAGTTCACATCGTGGGTACCGCTGATGTCGCGTCTCTGCCCCAGCGACACCTACAAAGTCTATAAGCGGGGCGCCAATGTGCGCATAGACACCACCCTGCTGGGATTCGACAACAACACCTGGCAGAGGGGGAATCGCTCGTACATCTTCAAGGGCGCCAGTAAGACTCCTACTTCCGAACCCAAGCAATGGCCTCAATCTTTCCTTTTCTTTTTCCCGCAGAAGAGACTGCCACAATGATCGAGATCGACCACGACACGAACGAAGTCATGGTGGAGCAGATGAGCAGCGATATCGGGGATATTGTGGCCATTCCCCCCGCCCTGGGCACTGTGCGCGCCCGCCTTAATGCGCCCGTCATCACCAACAATATCGAGATGGAAAAGATCAGTTTCGAGCGCAACAAGTGCGGCATTTGGGGCTGGCGCAGCGAGAAGTCTGAGGCCATCAATGGCTACAACTGCAAGGTGTATGGAGCCAGCAATGTGGAGTTTGTCACAAAGACCCGGATGGACCACCTGAGCGAGGAGCAAATCAAGGTAAAGACTTTCCCTGTCCAATCTCCATTGAATCTCTGGCAACTCCAACCCCCGCAGAACAAAACAGCACGGACGCCCCTTCACAGTCTGCTGGGCATTGCCGATGAGGAATACGTGCCCCCCACAGACGTAGCCGCGGGATTCAAAGAGCGCGTAAGTAGAAGCCATCTATCGTATGGTACATATTTCGGTTTTGGTTAACCGACTGTTACTGCAGACACCCTCGCCGCGACCTGGAGAGACAGCCTCCCTTTTGGCGGGCACCGAAAGCGGTGGGCGCTCCTCACCCGCCGTTTCCCAGAGCAATGGCGGCTCTGGCTGTGCATCGGGAGCAAGCACGCCCAGGTCATTGGTCACGCCAGAGGAGTACTTCAGCGGCGAGGACCTGCATGGCCGGGACGTGGGCAAGCCCAAAAATCTGAGCACAAAGGTGCAGCGTTTCAAGGCCAACCTATGGCTGGCCGAGGAACATCCGATACGACTGCAGGAGCAGGTGCTTCCAATTTTGGACCTCATGTCTACCATGGCTAGTCCCCATGTGTCAAAACTTAAAGACTTTATAACTATGCAGCTGCCAGCCGGCTTCCCGGTCAAGGTGGAGATACCGCTCTTTCACGTCCTCAACGCCTGCATCACGTTCGGCAACGTGTTCGCCATGACCACGCCTGTAGAGTACGTGGCCACCCTGGAGGAGCAGGACCGCGTCACCTGCCTGGTGGACGACCGCTGTTTCGATATACCCAATCACTACACAAACCGGGGCGGCGATTCCCGGCGCCAGATCCCACTGGACGAGGACGACATGCTGCAGTACGCCATCGAGCAGAGTCTGGTGGAAAGCAGCGGCGCCTGCGGAGCCGAGGCCGACGATAAGGTTGACATTTGGGAGGTGCTGCGCGGACAGAGTGTTGTTGGATCGGACATGCTGCCCGAGGACGACGAGCAACTGCAGCGGTAGGTTATGATTGGCAGTTGGTCTTTTTACAGGATGCTAACCGGTGCAAACTGCCACCGCTAGTCACCCTCGCTTCTCCTCGCACCTGCTTTCACCTCACCACCATTACGGACGATACTCGCCGTCTCCCCACTCCCTCCTAGAGCCGCAGCCCCGTGGCCGCTCTGCTTCGGCGGGGGCTCAGTTCAAGAACGACCTCAGCTACATGAAGAAGATCTTCAAATAGTCCTCCCCCACACCCTTTCACTGATCCCCTCCGCCTGTACTGCTAGATCGCATCTTATCCGAGCTTTGTGTGTTTCCGTTTTCCATTTCGTCCGCAGGGTGCTGCACGAGTCGCTGCTTGGGGCCCATGCTAACGCCAGTGGCTCTCCCGCCTCCGAAGACGATGACGATGGGGGCTTCCGTTACGTGGACCCCGACCTGGCCATGGCCATGCGTTTATCGCAGCAGGACCAAAAGAAGTACGAGCTGGAGCGACAGCGCGAGCAAGAGATGATCGAGCAGGCGCTCAAGCTCAGCCTGCAGGAACACTAGCCAATCAATCATACCAGGAAGCAACCAATCACCACTCGACGAAATCAATTACGAACTGGCACTCGCTTTTCCGTTTGTGGCGCAATCGATTCCAAAACAAAATTCAAGTTATATTTTCTAGTGTAACACTTTCGTCTAAGTTGTATAAATATTATTTAAGTTGCCTAATTTAGTTCCTCCCTGTCCTCTGGTTCTCCTGGATCCTTGTTTGAATTGTGATACAAGCAGCATCAGCAGGATTCGCCTGATCCGCTTTTTCTGATCTGGTCTCAACTCGTCCACTCGCGTGCGAATCCCATCCCCCACATTACACAGAACATACACAGAATCCACAGCTATACGATTTGTACACCAAACACCTCTATTCTATACTATTCTATCATATATATATATATATATATATATATGTACATCGTATGTATGGAATGTACGATAGATAAGCATTCATATTCATGTATGTGTATGTGTAGATCTTGTAGTCATAGTTTTTGCTATCTATTAAGTGCGTGTGGGAATGAACAAATGTCACATATCCTCTAATATTCACATTTTCCTATTTTCGCTCAGTTTGAAGATCGTTGGCTGACACCTACTAGTATCTATAAATATACACCCACTATATATCTGTATTTACTAATCAGCATTATCACTAAATTGTACTAACGAATCACACACATTCATTCTCTGTGCAAATGAGGTAAATACATACATATATACTATATGAAGTGAAGTACACGAAATCAATACGAATTGTATAATCCATCTCCATCTCTGGAGATGCCTTTACTAGATCTAAATGTACTTGAAACACTTTTGCTTGTCGTGCGGAATGCGAGTCTTGAACAGTACCGATTCCGCCCGATACTGGGTGTTTAGCAGGGGCGTGTAGCCGAACACCTGGCTGAAGAAATTGATGCATTTGTTGCGGTTCTGAAGGTGTTTGGCTCTTTGGCTGAGCGCAGCCTTCATGCCACGGCGGCGAAAGTTCCACCGAGAAGTGATCTTCACCGGCGGCCGGCGGGTGATGTGTGAGACGAGGAAGTTCATGGCGATGTCCTCGCAATTCATGAACTCGTCCACCTTTTCGCGGATGGCCTGTGGCAGGTGATAGGTGTACAGGTACATGTAGTATTTGTGCAGGAAGGCTGCTCCGGTGAGCACCATGCTCAGCTCGCAGCTGCAGCTGTGATTGTATCGCCACATGCTGCTGTCCACATCCCAGGCATGGTAGCGGCCAGGCAATCCCACAATACGGTCGCGGTGCTCGCGCCATACCCGGAAGCCGAACACAATCTCGTCTTGTCCGATTTGAACGTCGTCATCCACCGAAAGGACCGCCTCCGTCTCGATTACGTCCAACGGCAGGAAGCGGTTGTTAAGGGAGTTGCGCGGGCCGCGTACTACATCCACTGGCACGCCAATTTCCGGCCAGAGAAGCTCGATCCGCGGCAACTTTCGAGAGTTCCATACCACGACCACCTTGTGCAGATATGGCAGCCCGTAAAGGCGACGAAGCAAGCCGCACAGTACGGGCTCCCGCTCGTAGGTCAAAATGACGATGGTGAACTGCTCCTTGGGGTAGTTTCCGCCGAGAGCTTCGCTAAACTCCTTACCGGCACCGCCAATGCCCTTACCAATAGGCCGGAATTCGGTGTAGGATCCAATGAACTTGGCATCGGAGGGAAGGGCCGGGTCGAAGGGCAGCTGGGGATACATGTAGAAGGGATCTACCCAGTCGTTCCAGGCCTCTTTGGACTGCATTCGCAAGATCGTGTAGTTTCTGCGGAAGGTGGGACTCGGATATGGTGGCTCCATGGGGCCCAGAAACTCCTCTGGTAAAATGGTTAATCTAATCTTTGCCTTCAATGGCGCAAAAGTATTGTTGAAAACGCGTTGGGCCACTACTGGTGGAACCGGGCGCGGTGGTATCCCCAGGCGGTCGCGTAGGCTGGCTATAACCGTGTCCACAGTGGCCTGAACGGAACTGAGGTACCGCTCCCAGATTAGTCGGCCCTGGCGCCGAAGAAGAAGCAAGTCCGCGTCCTGGACGGCTCGAAGGAGGAAGTGCAGCTCCGTGATGCGAGCCTTGGGCATGAGGAGTGCCGCCCGACGCCAATCCAGAGTCTCCGCATACGGGAGACGAAGCTCATCTGCTCCGAGGATGACGGGAACGGCCCCGGAGCGCAGCGCCTCATATAGTCGGGCTAGCATGAGCGTGGAAGCCACACGTCCGTTCAGCGGGGGAAGGATCAGCGCGAAGGTAGAGTCCTTCAGCAGCTGCTTGCGGGACGAATCCGATCCACACAGCGTCCAGTCGGACACGGAGTCCACCTCCTGCTGCTCCGTGGCGGGGACGCACTGGAACTGTAGCTCGAACTGATCCTGAGTGGGTCCCTTGGACATATCCGTCAAGTGTTCCAGTATGAAGTCGTCCAGCGGGTTGGAGCCTTGGGGGTCTGTTTTCGGTCTCATCTCTCCCTGGAACGAGAGCAGGTACTTGCGGCGGGCGGGCACCATGCTGGCACACTCCTGCCAAACGTCTCCTCCTGGTGGACCGAGGATGGGGGGCACAATCAGATCGTATCTGGGCCGGAACTGGTCCAGCTCGAAGGCGCTCTGCACCACAATGGCTCGCATGGTGTTCTGCTGGAGCAGTGCATTCGTCCTGCGGGAGCAGAGGTCCCGGCGTGCCAAGTTTAGCAGCACATGGTTGCGGCCATCGCCTCCCCAGTAGGGCAGGTTGTACAGCTTCTGCATTTCGATGGGGCAGTCGTGTGTTTGGCTGGGAGCCGTCGGCTGTTGCTGCTCAGCCTCTTGGGCCGCATATCGGTTGTTTCGAAGCAGGTCCTGTTCCAGCAGAGCCTCGCCTACCAGCACCAGGTAGATGCAGGCTTGCGTTGGATCCCTCACTATGTGCGCGTTGTAGCCGAGCGTTTGTTTGAGAGTTGTCTTGAGGAAGCCATTGATATCGTAGCCAGTTCGCTGGACGTTGTGTTCGTCGGGGTCATAGAGGTACACTGGAAAGCCGGAGGTGAGGCTGCAACGGGAGTGATCGAAGCAGTTGTGCATCGCACAGGAGGCGGCTACGCCCGTCGAGACAGTATTCATCTTTTGGGGCAGGGAGTTGGGCAGGAGAGTGGGCGGGAGGCTAATTTTAGGAGTGTTTCGCACTGCCTCTTGCTGGGCCTTTTTCGCTTGCTTCACGCCGATTTTAAGCAGCTCCAGTATCTTCTGCTCTCGCAATCGCTCTCTTTGGAGCTCCACGAGATCCTTTTGGTACTTTCCAATTGCCCACTGCAGCTTATAGATGGACTGCAGCCTTGTCTCGGCCTCGGCCTCGGCAGTCAGATCCAGGTTTAGTTGGTGAACTCTACTCATGCGGTACGCCATACAGCACACTAAAAACACCAGCATAAGAAGCAGTGCGATAATATTGCAGCGCCAGTGTGGTAGCCAGGCAACAACCGGCGCTGCGTTCTCTTCGCTACTGCTGCGGGAGGTGGCCATGTCGAAGGAACGAGCGATTGTTACTTATCCTCTGATATACTCGTATGTATTATATAAATACTACTTTCGTTCGATTTCGAAACATCTACTGAAATTCCATACCTACTATATAGCATTATTTATTCTATATATTTCTCTCTCAAAAATAACTGGAATTCCTTTGTGTAAACCAAATACTAGACAATAGCAAGATTTTGCATGAAAGTGGGGTTGTTCTATAGTGGGGTTTTTTCATGACACAAACGCGTGCGTGGTCTGTGAATTCTCTTTTAGGCTATCCTTTGTCTCTGACCGTGTATTCATATTTGGGTCCGGGTATCTATCGGAACATAACTCCCTGTATCTACTACTGAGTCGCTTAAAAACGAATATTATATTAGTCTTAATATTTGTAGCTTTAGCTCTCTTTGTTCAGTTTACTTATAATTTGTCTCGATCATTAGTCTAGCATCTATATTTGCTGCCAAGCGGTAGCGCCCTTCGGTCGGGAAATCGCGCGTAGTTAGCATCGTCTTAGTATCGCTTGGCATGCATGAAGTGGGTGGTATGGTGAGGTCAACGCCCTGATACATCAAGATAAAACATGATGAACGGATATACATACAAGGAAAAGGATTCGTCTAATTGATCATCCTTTATTGATACAGATTGTAGATGCCTTTATCAGGCGCTATATACAGAGTAGTCAAGTGGGGGACATACATACATACATAAATACACATTAACATAGGATAATTAAGCGAACGTAGACACACATAAGTAAAAGACTTACGATCTGTTTTGGTATCTGAAAGCATCTCCGGCAGGCCGAAGTAGACAAAGGTACATCCATAGGCACATATAAGTAAGCACAGGATGAACATTCGCGTGGTTAAGCGGTCTCGGTAATCTCATATTGCTTTTCAGTAGCTACGCTTTGAGTGAAAGTCCAGTGTTGTCCGTAGGCTACGTAGTATATACTACTTTGTGCTTAGAGCTAGGAGTGGAGTCTGACTGGGAGTCGGGCCGGAGTCCAGCGCAGTAAGTGTAGCGGCCGTTACCACCGTTGTGGTTCATCGTTTCTGGATGGATACAGGTGTGGATGCCCCGATTAGATCTAGATGTACTTGAAGCACTTCTGCTTGTCGTGCGGAATGCGAGTCTTGAACAGGATCGAGTCCGCCCGGTACTGAGTGTTCAGCAGAGGCGTGTAGCCGAACACCTGGCTGAAGAAATTTATGCATTTATGGCGCTCCTGGAAGTGGGTGTCGTCCTCGCTGAGCGAAACCGGGCAGCCTGGGCACCGGAACGTCCACCGAGAAGTCACCTTCACCGGGGGTCGGCGGGTGATGTGCGAGACGAGGAAGTTCATGGCAATGTCCTCGCAGTTCATATACTCGTCCACCTTGTCGCGGATGGCCTGTGGCAGGTGATAGGTGTACAGGTACATGTAGTACTTGTGCAGGAAGGCTGCTCCGGTGAGCACCATGCTGAGCTCGCAGCTGTAGTTGGAGTTATAGTGCCACATGTTGTTGCTGCTCACATCCCAAGCGTGGTAGCGACCGGGGAAACCGACGACGCGGTCGCGGTGCTCGCGCCACACACGGAAGCCAAATAAAATCTCATCATGCCGTAGGTGGGCGTCGTCATCGACTGAGAGCACCGCCTCTGTCTCGATTACATCGAAAGGCAGGAAGCGGTTGTTGAGGGAGTTGCGCGGGGCGCGCAGAACCGCCACTGGCACCCCGATGTCTGGCCAGCGAAGGTCGTCCAACGGCGGCTTTGGTGAGTTCCATACAACAACCACCTTGTGCAGATACGGTAGCCCGTAAAGGCGACCCAGCGAGTCCATCAGCACCTGCTCCCGCTCGTAGGTCAATATGACAATGGTGAACTGTTCTCTGGGGTAGTTTCCGCCGAGGGCTTCGCTGAACTCCTTACCGGCTCCTCCAATGCCCTTACCGATTGGCCGGAATCCTGTGTGGGATCCAATGAACTTGGCATCGGAGGGAAGGGCCGGGTCGAAGGGCAGCTGGGGATACATGTAGAAGGGATCTACCCAGTCGTTCCAGGCCTCCTTGGACTGCATTCGCAGGATCGTGTAGTTTCTGCGGAAGGCGGGACTCGGATATGGCGGCTCAATGGGACCAAGAGACTCTTCCGGTTCCGTGTCCAGTCCCACTGGTGGATCGGACTTTAACGGTATAAATGTGCTGTTGAAGACGCTCTGTGCTACTACTGGTGGAACCGGGCGCGGTGGTATCCCCAGGCGGTCGCGTAGGCTGGCTATCACCGTGTCCACAGTGGCCTGAACGGAACTGAGGTACCGCTCCCAGATTAGTCGGCCCTGGCGCCGAAAAAGAAGCAAGTCCGCGTCCTGGACGGCTCGAAGGAGGAAGTGCAGCTCCGTGATGCGAGCCTTGGGCATGAGGAGTGCCGCCCGACGCCAATCCAGAGTCTCCGCATACGGGAGACGAAGCTCATCTGCTCCGAGGATGACGGGAACGGCCCCGGAGCGCAGCGCCTCATATAGTCGGGCTAGCATGAGCGTGGAAGCCACACGTCCGTTCAGCGGGGGAAGGATCAGCGCGAAGGTAGAGTCCTTCAGCAGCTGCTTGCGGGACGAATCCGATCCACAAAGCGTCCAGTCGGACACGGAGTCCACCTCCTGCTGCTCCGTGGCGGGGACGCACTGGAACTGTAGCTCGAACTGATCCTGAGTGGGTCCCTTGGACATATCCGTCAAGTGTTCCAGTATGAAGTCGTCCAGCGGGTTGGAGCCTTGGGGGTCTGTTTTCGGTCTCATCTCTCCCTGGAACGAGAGCAGGTACTTGCGGCGGGCGGGCACCATGCTGGCACACTCCTGCCAAACGTCTCCTCCTGGCGGACCGAGGATGGGGGGCACAATCAGATCGTATCCGGGTCGGAACTGGTCCAGCTCGAAGGCGCTCTGCACCACAATGGCTCGCATGGTGTTCTGCTGGAGCAGTGCATTCGTCCTGCGGGAGCAGAGGTCCCGGCGTGCCAGGTTTAGCAGCACATGGTTGCGGCCATCGCCTCCCCAGTAGGGCAGGTTGTACAGCTTCTGCATTTCGATGGGGCAGTCGTGTGTTTGGCTGGGAGCCGTCGGCTGTTGCTGCTCAGCCTCTTGGGCCGCATATCGGTTGTTTCGAAGCAGGTCCTGTTCCAGCAGAGCCTCGCCTACCAGCACCAGGTAGATGCAGGCTTGCGTTGGATCCCTCACTATGTGCGCGTTGTAGCCGAGCGTTTGTTTGAGAGTTGTCTTAAGGAAGCCATCGATATCGTAGCCAGTTCGCTGGACGTTGTGTTCGTCGGGGTCATAAAGGTATACTGGAAAGCCGGAGGTGAGGCTGCAACGGGAGTGGTCGAAGCAGTTGTGCATCGCACAGGAGGCGGCTACGCCCGTCGAGACAGTATTCATCTTTCGGGGCAGGGAGTTGGGCAGGAGGGTGCGCGGCAGGGCAAGATCAGGAGTGTTGCGCTGCACTGCCTCCCGCTGGGCCACCTGCGCCTGCTCCACGGACATCTTGAGACGCTCCAACTCGGTCTGCTCACGGAGCAGCTCCTGCTTCAGCTCCTCAATTTTTTGATTGTACTGACTGATGTCCGACTGCAGTTTCTGGCGGCGGGACTCTAGCTCGCGCAGCTCCACTGACACAGTGCTCTGGGAAAAGTCGGATACGGTTTAATCCAAATTAGGTTCCAATGTGTTTGGCACTTACCTTGATTCTTACCATCTCCTCGATGCGCATCTTTAGGTCGCCGGCCCGCATCGCGCTGAAATCCTCGTAAGCATCCAGCAGCGGGGAGCTGCGGTGCAAGTCCGTGGGAGGAGCATCCTGCTCGGCCTTTGCGGAAATAAAACGTTTGATAAGTCAAGTCTACCTAGGAGAAATAGATACGTACACCCATGATGCGGTACGCAAGGCAGGACATCAGAAACATCATCATGAGAACCAAGGCGGGCAGTTTATAGCGGCGCCATTGCCTGATCCACGAGACCCTCATGCTCATCGCGTGTCTTTGCGGGACCGCTGCCGACGCGTCTTTGCCGCTTCCGCTGTCCAGTGGTTGATAAGCACCGCCGGAGTTGCTCAGGTCGAAGGCCAGAGACATGGTGCAGCTTCAGCTTCCGGACTTCAGCCCTTGCATGATATTTCAATTGTTTTTATTTTTATATTTACATGTGTTCTTCAGAGTGACCGCGGATTTATCGTTATATGGTCCGACCCTCAGAAATATACCAAAATATACCGTCTCATTAAAAAAATATACCGTAAATATACTGACGAATTCAAGTTCTATTTTACATATTCCTCGTTTTTGATATTCCGTTGAATATTACTAGCTATATAGATCGATTAGCCATGCCCACATAATTTTATACAATTGATGAATCAATTTTCTATTTAACTGGTGTATTCTTAATACTTGCTTTTATTGCATTTTGCGTAAAAATAGGTTTTAGCGAAATAAGTCAAACCAAAAACAAGTAGCGAAATAGGTCAATCAAAACAAACGAAAAAGAAAATTCGTTCATATTGCTCAATTTTGATATTCCATTGAATAATGCTGACTAACTAAATCTCTCAGCAATGCCCACATAGTTTAATCCCATTGATGAATAAATTTTCTACAAGATTGGATAGTTTTTAATCCTTGCTTTTATTGTATTTATTGTAAAAAAAGGTTTAAACGAAAAAGTTCAACAAAAAAACGATCGCCATATTGCGTGTAAGCCGTATATAGGCCTTTGTATACCCTATTTTGTTAATTGTATATGAAAGTATAAATAATGATATGAATATAAAACGTAACTAATAAAGATCTTTTCTCAAATTGACATTTCTTAGACATATTCATGTATATGATGAGTGTTTTGTATATACATATATCTCGATCCTGATACCTATTCATGGTCCCTACAAGAAGACAATAAGCTTTAAAATATCGTTGAAATAATGAAAATAATATTGAATAATATTGAAAATAAATTGTTTTTGCCTGGGATGACAAACATATTCACAGTTCTATAACATCTATTTCCTCCAGGGTATGTGCATGGAATTAGCAACATGTTTGTGTATGGAATGAGTCTCACTGTTGTCATTCAAAACGGTGCTGCCAACCTGCATATTTGTTTACATGAACATATTTGTTTACCTCTGCTGCCAGGGCTGCCATGAAAACAGCCGCAAATATCGAAATTCAAATGATAGTTATAACGCACACCGGCAGCGCAGTTGTTCCGCAGTAAATAGAAACTTTAGAAAGTCAATTAACACCCACTGCCCAGCAGACTAGCAGCAACTAGCCGGTCCTGTCCAAAGATCAACAGTGCAGCACAGATTTCAGCTCACTTGGCTAGCGAGCGACCGCTGGCCGTTGTGTTTTTGCAGTACTCTCCATCGCGTCGTCGTTCGTGCTGTGGTGCGAGTGTGGCGGGCTTGGTCTTGTGAATGGATGGCTTTGGTGGCTCTGTGCTCATCACCGTGTTAAATTAATTACATGCAGAACGTTTTAGACGATTACTAATAGCAGCGAGATGACTAAAGGCGCCTAACAAGTCGAGTCGGATCTTTAGTCTTAACGGAAAGTGTTCCTAGGTGCACTATAGTATTGCACTCCCGCGTCCATATCCACTGCCATAGAGAAAGGAGACTCTTCGAACACCACATCGCGATCCTGCTGCGACCAATTGACTGGAAATGGGTAAAATATTCTATTAATATTCGCAGCAATTTACTTTGGCTGACATTTTCACTTTCTTGTGCGCTCTTTCATTGATTCTTTCACTTCGGTTGGGGCTCGGGCTGGGGCTGGGTCAGCTGCGTCTGCTCTGGGCCGCGGTGGGGTGGGTGCGGCCGGCCTTGAAAGTGAAAGCCGCATAAAGGAAAATGCCATTAGCACACCAAAGATTCAATACCCTAACCCCCGTTCCTCAGTGGGAGTCCACAGCAGAGATAAGAGATCGATCCTAGGCGGAAACGTGACGGTGATAAAGTTGCCAGTTTATTGGACTTCTAAGGCAGAGGAGGTCAAAGACCTGATAATCTTTCTGGCATCGGGGTTTAAACAGCCAAGCAGACGATTGATGAGCCCCCGATTCGATGTGATTCCCAGTATAGGGAGCCTCTGTGCTTGCACATTGATGGACTCTCCCGGAGATTAGAATGGGATGGCAGGGTGAAAGGCTGAAGAAATTTAGAGTTCCCATTTGGAGCAAGAAGTTCCGCATTTCGCTCGCAATCAACACTAATTAATCTACAGTCTATGTCTGAGGCAGAAACGCTTAATTGGAAATTTATTCCTGCCCTGCTACGCCCCACCCTCGCTTCTAGCAACGGCACCACGGCATAGGAGTTGCTTCCACTCGTTTTCTAGCCGTTGACCCCAAATGAGGCAACACAGTGGCTTCTGGATTTGGGACGCCGTTGTTTATCGGAGGGCGGTAGGGGTTGGGCTGGGGCAGGGCTTAATTAGGGGCACATTTATTGCACTGAGATCCGTTGGCTTTGGCTTTAGCTCTGGCGGTGCGTGCGTGCTCTAAGCTGGAGCTTCCGCCCATGCGCCTAAACCCCCAAACACCCACAGGCCAGCAAAGACGCAGAGCAAGACGACCTTTGTGTGCTGTGCCCCAAAGAGAACCTGAAACAGAGCTGCAGTACAGTTTACAATTACCTTTCCTAATGACATCCGCTTGGGTAGACGCGGATCCGTGTGACTGAAGCCGCAAGAGACTGGCAAAGGCCCAGGCCCGGGTCACCGGCAGACAACTGCGGATAATTCAAATTTAGTAGCCACTTGCCCACCATCGCATGAGCAGCAGCAGTTTAGTCGCCAGTGCCCTGAATGCACCTATGCCCTGTGGCCAACATGCATCTCAAGATCCACCTCAAGTGTCGCAAATATGAAATTTGGGGTAAGCTCCGCCACATTCCTGTTGTCATTGATACACCCCACCCGTCGTTATGCTAATATCGCACCGAACGGTACACCTGCGGTGCCTTTTGGCATTTCAATTGGAGCCGAACCTCCCACCCACTCCCCCGCTGCACGGACTGAAGTCGGAGCCAGAGCCAAAACCCAGAGCCAGAACCCAAAGCCAGAACACAGAACCAAGCCGCTTTAAAAGCGGGAACCCGCCACAAGTGCAATCTCAGTTGAGGCCGCAGAGCAGAGGTAGTCGCAACCGGAGTCCGAAATGAGTAAGCCAATCGTATCCCGTGCATTTACTTTAAAGGAAGGAACCCATGTCAATTTTGTCAAAATCCCTTGAGATATTCACATCCCACTCTCCTCTCCAATGCTGGGAATAACGCCGTCACTATTGTGGAAGATATCAATTCAAATGAGTAAGAAGGCCCAAATCAAATCGATCGACAGCTTTTCCTTTTGAGCTTTCGTCTAATCAGACGATAACGTGCACTCTAGCGGTAGATAAATAATAAATAGAGGAAGCGAGTGCTGCACAGTGTGCCTCCGACGGGCGAACGTGAGAGAGAGGCAAAGTTCAGCTTGCCGCACTCCGCAATAAAAATATTATGGGATTGTGGAGATTTCTGAAATGTAATGTTGGTGCCCCTCGATATTCATTGTGTCGCGATGCTAAACGTGATTTATTAGCGAAACAAAGTGCACAACAATGCGTTCATTAAATTAACATTAATGAATCGCAACAAAAACAAAACCAAAACTGAATCTAAACAGATTCGCTATCATCTGCCTGATGACACATTCAGCGAGAGAGACATTGCGCGCGAGAGAGAGAAAGCTTTTAGAAACAGCTGTTTTGGCCAGGTGCTTGGTTTGGCCCTTGAAATGCTTTCCCTCTCTCACACTCTCTTGGCTTTAGTTTTGGCGTTGTTTGGCAATTGTTCTATCTGTTGCATTGTTGCATGCAACTGTTAACCCACAATAATGTAGAATATACAATTTCATTTCCGTTTCCTTTTGATGCGCTGCGTATCGTTCCGTTCCGTTTCGCACGCCGACTTTGAGAAATAACAAAAACAATTCATTTCAATGTGAGTATGCACACCTCTTTAGCAATACCGTTACAACAGAGATGAGATAAACAGTGGAAAGCTTTGACCCTAAAATAATTTTAAAAGAAGACTAGAGAAGGGCTCCGTCAAACGTCCCTCCGACGACCTCGTGCCGATCGATTTCTGTCAGGTATTCCGTCTTATCAACTATTGGAAACCACAGATAGACGCTGTTATCTTTATATGAACTCCAGATACCACAAGTACTCATTTCTCTCTGAATATTGACTTTGGTTGTATTTGCAGCTCTCTGGTTATTCTCATTTGTCTCTGGGCTGGTTTTGCTGCACTTCTCCATAGCTCTGATTCTGATCAACAAGGAAGTACCACAGTCGCGCGGAATGCTTTATCCTCGGGAGTCGGAGACGCGGGAGGTGCGTTCCCTGGACGGAATCTGGAACTTTGTGCGCTCCGACCAGACGAACCCAACGCAGGGTGTGCGTGAAGAGTGGTACGGCAAGGACCTGAGCAGGAGCAGGCCCACCATTCCGATGCCCGTGCCCGCTTCCTACAATGATATAACCACCGACAATCTGCGCGACCACGTGGGCACCGTGTGGTACGACCGCAAGTTCTTTGCCCCACGCTCCTGGGCCGTGGATCAGCGGGTCTGGCTGAGATTCGGGAGCGTCCACTACGAGGCCTATGTGGTAAGCTCGAGATGAGGTAATCAACATCAATATGGCATCTCTAAAGTTCTGTCTTTCTCGCAGTGGGTCAACGGCCAGAAAGTGGTCAAGCACGAGATCGGGCACCTGCCGTTTGAGGCGGAGGTCACGCATCTGCTGAACTACGGCGCAGAGAACCGCATCACGGTGATGTGCGATAACGCACTGATACAGACTACTGTGCCACAGGGTAGGATAACAGAGCTGCCCAACGACGACGGCATGACGATAGTCCAGAGCTACACGTTCGACTTCTTCAACTATGCCGGAATCCATCGCTCCGTCCACCTGTACACCACGCCCAAGACGTTCATCGAGGAGGTAGTGATAACCACAAACCTGTCCAAGGACAATGTCGGTAAGAGAAAGCGTCCATGATCTTGTCAGTCACCAGTTACCT